AATAAGAACAACAATAATAATAACAATAATAAGAATATAAAAATCATAATAAAATCATAATAATAATAATAATTATGCAGCTGACTTTTATAGAGAGCACTCCGATACATACAGCTCTGACAGGCACTTGTATCTATGCTATACTATATATCTTTTCTTGCCTTTTTCAATATTTAAAATTCGAATTTCAAATTCAAAAGGAACTACACACAACCAGTCCCAGAGATTAAGAAACCGTAAAAAAATCTTTAAAACAAAATTTGGGCTCAATATATCTGAACAGCTAGCAGATGACGTTTCTTTCTTCAAAACATAAGATGATAGATAACAAAGCTGATGACTTTAAAAAACCAACCAACATAAGGTAAAAGACAAGGAGCCAGAGGCTGCGTGGATACACGAGACCGGCATGGAGTCTCTAACCTGGCTGTGTGTGCACGAAGGACCCCACCAGGAGGTCCATGATGGAGAGAAAGAGCACCAGGAGGAGCAACAGCTGCAGCCGGATCACCCACTTCACGCCCGACACGTTCACACCTGAGGAGGGAGACACGGAGTTCCAGCATCCATTGCCTATGAGAACATGTGCGGCATCACCTCTGAGAATATGTGCGAAGGGGGAGGGGAGGGGTTTGGAAAGAGTAACTAGTTTACACAGGGAGTTAAAGATCTATTGCCTTTCAGAACATGGCCAAAGGGAAAGGGGGGGGGGTGGAAGGAGCAATTAGTTTACATTCTAAACAGACAAAGACAAATAGATTCTAAACACAGAAAAAGAACATTATGTTGAAATGATTCTAAAGAGACAATGACAAATAGAACATTATGTTGAAAAGATTCTAAAGAGACAATGACAAATAGAACATTGTGTTGTACAGATTCTATAAAGAGAATGACAAATAGAACAATATGTAGTATAGACTCTATGAAGACAATAACAAATAGAACATTATGCTGTATACCATGTATAGATTCTATAAAGACGATGGCACACTTTAAGCACTTTAGCACATTACAGAAGCTGGCCAACTGAGCATACTCTCTACGGTCCACATTTTATGACACACCACATAATTCTGGACACACCACATCTTGCCACACAACACACCTCATAATTCTGCAAACACCACAAAATTCTGTACCATGACGACTCACCCAATAGAAGCAGCACCACGCCAAAAGCAATGGCGCGGGCGATCCACGGATTCGACTGACCAATCAGCTCCATGATGGACTCGCCGAAACCCATCACGCTCAGCGAGCAGCTCACAGACTGGATGATAGAAACACAAACAGAACGTTTAATGTTATAGGGCCTAATTATTATAGTTATAGATTCTAAAGAAACAAACACAAATAGAACGCTTAGAGTCTAATGTTATAGATTCTAAAGAAACAAACACAAATAGAACGCTTAATGTTATAGATTCTAAAGAAACAAACACAAATAGAATGCTTAATGATAATGTTATAGATTCTTGAGAAAATACAAATGAATATCAAACAAATTCCTTTTGACTTTCAAATGTTGGGTGCAAATTTGAAATGCAAAACTCTCTTTCTCTCTCACCTTCCCCCCACACCTCTCTCTCACCTGAGGAAAGCAGTAAATGATGCCAATACTTCCACCGATCCTGCCTCCCAGTATGTGAGAGATAGGAAGTAGACCCCTCCACTTCCCACCTTACATCTCTCTCTCTCTCTCTCCCCCCCCTCTCCCTCT